TCTGACTTCAGCTCAGGTCATGATCTCATGGTTTATGAGTTTGAAACCCACACTGGGCTCTGTACTGACAGTTCAGAGCCTGAAGTCTGCTTCTAATCTGTGTCTCCATCTCTCTCTGCCACCCCCCTGCTCACACACTCTCTCTCTCTCTCTCTCAAAAATAAATAAACATTAAAAAAAATTTTTTTTAAGATGCCATGAGGGGGCAGGAGGAAGGAGATTCCAAGAGGTACCTACCTGAGTTCATTGTGAAGGTAGCTCCTCTCATGGACGGATTCACATTAACCAAACACAGAAAGAATGATGTATAAGGTCAGACTACAAATGTGTTAGTCCACAGTGACAGACACTAGTACCAGAAATTCAAATCAGCATGCCTTAGGCTACAAATTAACCTCTCTTTGTGAGCAACTCTACAAAGTAGTTATTAAGGACGATTGGTAAAACAGAACAAGGACCATTAAAAGTGTGATCTTAAGTCATATCTTACCTAAAGCTCTCTATCCCTCTATAGTCAATGGCTAAATGTGATTAAATCCCAGACATTAGAGTTGAATGCTCCAAGGTTGGGATCTCAGCCCTGCTACTTCTAACCATGTCTTCAGTGACCACACTATGCTCACCCAGCCTGTTTTCCCACCTGTAAAGTAAGAATAATAGCATTATGTACTATAATAGCAAGAGTCATATGTTAGAGACTTAGCACAGTTTTGGGCTCACTACACTCCCTTGATTCTTAGATGTGGGAAGTCATTCTCAAGGTTTTTAGGCACACAGAAACAGTGCAGAATTCAATTTACACATTGATTGTAAGACAGTTGTTTTTTTCTTTGTTTGAAAACTAAAAGCAATGTCATTTTTTGAACCAAGAAAATGGTGGTCATAGACTTTCAATATATGGAAGTCTTGTTCTTATGGTCATTGTTAGCACTACTGCCACCAGTGCCACCATGATAGATAATGTCCTTTGGTTGAAACCTTATCTTCTTGTACTGCCCTAGGATGAGCACTCCCCACACCCATTACTCACCCCCACATGTCATAACAAGTTCGCCTACCTGACCATGCTACATTCCTGTGTTATGGACTGCTGTCTCTTCTTTGTTTTTTATGTATGTATGTTTGTTTGTTTATTTGTTTGTTTTTGTTTATTTTTGAGAAAGAGAGAGTGAGAGAGAGAGAAAGCAAAGGGAGGAAGGGAAAAGAGAGACAGAGGAGACAAAGAATCCCAATACAGGGCTCAAACTCACGGACTGTGAGATCATGACCTGAGCTGAGATGAAAGGTCAGATGCTTCACCACCTGAGCCACCCAGGCCCACCCCGGATAGCTGTCTCTTTTCCTAAGAACGTGCTCAGAAGTTGTCAGCACAGTGAAATCGCTTCTCAAGAAATGGTTTGTTCCCTGACATACCTTCATTTTAGAATTATTAGTGAAGCATCCTGTTTTCAGGGACCTTTGTTTGGAAAGTCAGAGGCCATCTTTGTATAGAAAAAGTCTGTCCTCCTGCGCTCCCCTATGGAACGTTCCCTATCCATAGCCCACTAGATGGTCTGGTGTGGACAGTTGCAGAACTGTCCATTTGCAAGAATTGCCCATGCTGTGAGGAAGTCTGAAAAAGAGTGAGGAATAAGCATTCCATTTAGTGTTCCCAAGAGAATTCCAAATATTGAGCTATTCAGATATTCACTTGTAAAAAGTGTGTTTTAAAATTCATAAAATAAACATAACCAATTTAAGAAAGTTAGACAAATAGAGAAGAAAAAAAAATCCCTATATTGCAAAAGCCTTAAGACAGGCCTATTTTGATATATTTATCATTTTGACATATTTAATTATATTCTTTTTGCTAGGTGCAACACAGTTAAAATTATAATGTACATATTTTAAATCCTTTTTTATTGTTATTTAATATGTGCATTTTTTCTGTGTTGTTGTGTAGAAACACCCTAGCATGACATATAAGCTCTTTGTCTCTGGCTTCTGCCTAAGTCTAATCTCTGTCTATTACAGGGCCATCCTCTACCCACCACACTGAAAGGCAGATGGTTCTTGAACATCAACCCCTTCTCAATTTATCTCTCACTCTTCCTTCACCTGATATATCACTCAGCTTGTCAGTAGGACACAAAATTCACCTTTAATTGTTCAAGTGAAGAGGCTTTAATGTAGAAACCACTTACAGAAGGTTAGGTGAGTTTACGGGAACAGAAAAAGGATGGAGAGGAAAATAAGAGAATGACACTCAGAAACTAGCAAGTTGGGAATTTCTTACCCTCCTAGGGTATCTGATTGAGATGTGATTTCACAGCAGGAACAGAAGAGGGTGAAAACACCCCATTTCTTCCTCCACCAGTTCCCTTATTTCCTGTCAGCATCCCCCATTGGCAAGACTCAACCAAAAGCCAGAGGACAAGTCAGGACCAGTACTACAGGTGTCATCTATCCCCTGGGGCACAGAAACAGCAATCCAGAGGACAGAGAGTGGGCAGGAGCAGGGTCATATACACATGCATGGCCAGTCAAGCTTTGGTAGACATTGGATCAGAAACCACCTAAAGTGATGTTGAGTATCTCCAGTTTCAAAAAAAAAAAAAAAAAAAAAAAACCCAAACCCAAACAAAAAATAAAAAACCAAACAACAACAACAACAAAAAACCAGTTTCCATATTCTCCTCAAAGTCCCTACCCCAACAGTCCTGTTCTCATGCAACAAAGGAAGTCTCCCTCTTAGTTCACAGAGAAAACAGAATTCATTAGATGATGACTCCATAACCTTGTGCCAACAAACCAGCAAACCAACAAAAATGATTACAATCCCACCTAGCACTGGCTGCCCTCTTCCTAGCACTAGGTAAGAATCTGTCCCCATTCTCAACCTACTCCCAGTGCCAACTCACTCTCTTTGAATAGATTGTAATACAGCTTACTCAATGTTCTATCCCAGGACATTTGGTGAAAGAGGGGTGGAAAAAAATGGCAGTGGGAGTGGTAGGTTTGGGTTTTTGCTGGACGTCCTCCAATGAATCATTGAAAGACCTTGGACAAGCACGCCCCTCTCTGGGTAGTTACCTTTCTGTGTTTAGGCATGATTTTTATGGTCTCAGTTCTTTGTAAAGGTTGAGGTCTGGGTTCAAATTCTACTTTGGTCATCGTAAACTCCATGTTCTTTCTCACTGTATTTTTCTCTCTCAGCCTTCAATTTCTTTGCCTTTAAGTTGGGACCATTAAATCTAGTTCATAGGCCTTTGTTGGGGTTAAATAACAATCAGGTGGTAAGGTAGTTGCTCAATAAAAATAGTGATCAGGTGGTCACAGATATGGTTGAAATAGTAAGATTACTCTGTGAAATAGTAAGATTACTGTAAGGAAGTGCCTGTGAAAGAACAAGTGAGGAGGGAGACAAGGAGGGAAGAAAGGAATCAGGGAAGGAAAGAGGGAAAAGTTTGGAGAGAGATAGTTTATAGATATGTAAGGAAATATAATTTAAGTCAGTGCTTTCCAGTTAAAGAGGCCACAGTCCAATTTAGCTTCCTAAACTTTGAGGTGGTGTGTGACTTCACCATTTAGTGAAAATGTGCATTATAAATAGGCATGTAAATGACTCAGCATGGGGGCTGAAAGTTGGAGGCAGCTTTTGGCAGAGGTAATAATGAAGTGAATCCCATTAGTGATGGAAAGGCAATTAAGAAAAACCTCAATGAAGCTCCAGATCTGAGCATTCAGCTGAAAGATTGGGATTTTGGAGGAAAAAAGGTTAAGCACCGGGAGGCTGTTTATAATGACTTTAATTAGATTGAAAATGAATTGTTTTGCTCTTTTATCTCTCCTCAAGTTTGCTTTTTAAGTAACAGAGCATCTGTAACAATACTGAGGCACACTTGTCAATTGTAAGGATCACGCATAGGAAGTGGCTCAAGAATGGCGGTGATTTCATGATATAGTTACACTTCCTGCAAGAACATGAGTGGCCCAGCCATTTCAGCCAACAAACCCCAGTGCATAGATGGTATAATTTGTTACTGAGGGGATCTTCTTGGGACTTGACTTCATTATCAGGGATTACTCCCTAGCAAGACTGAGTCTGAACATTGCCTTCAATCCCTAGAAAAATGTGACAAGTCATCCAACCCAAATTATTGCTGAAGACTGCACTTTGAGGGAAAAGGGAGCCCTTGGATGTTAGTATTTAGAAACCTGGTAGAATAAAGGAAAGATATCGCATAAATTACTTTTAATCTTAAAATTATGTGTCATGTTTGTTGATGTCACCAGAGACATGAAACACCTATTATTGTTACAGATATTGGATGACAGTTGAAATTTACAAAGTGATACATTTTATCTCATCCTAAATTCAAGAAAAGATTTTGATTGAAGTCTTAGTGTCCCTATTATACAGATAAGGAAACTGAATCTCCAGCAGGTTAAGTGATTTGCCCAGTGTCTCAGCAGCTAATAAATGGCAGAGACAAAACACAGACTGAAGCTTTACATGCCTTTTGTGCGTATTTCTTCCACCACACTGCGACTGAGTCATAAATAAGCAATATCTGGATAAACCCTTAGAGGTGATCCTATGCAGCAAGAAAGAGTAAATGTTGAGTGGCTTTTCTGGTTCTGTTTGGTGTCTAGCTAGACTTGGAGCCCACCAGGAGAGAACGCTGAGCACACCTGAATGCATGTGCTCAGAGAGGAAGAGTGGGCCCTATTGCAATACTTTTCATTTCACTGTGGATCATAAAATAATTTTATTATTCCAGTGATTGAAAAGTATCAGTTATTTTTAGGTTTGAAAGTAACCTGGAGGTTGGACAACACTCACCCAGCTGGGAGATAAATTTCCATGGCAACTGAGTATGAGGCAGAGATTGATTCTAGAGACAGACAGTCTATAGAACACTGATTTTCAGCCCTGGCTGCATGTTCAAGTCACTGGGGAGCATTTAAAAACTGAGGCCTGGGGTCCACCCCTAGAGATTCTAATTTAATTAGTTTGGAATATAGTCATGACATCAAGGGTTTTTTTAGGTTACTCAAATGATTTTAATATGCCACTTGGTTGAGAATTGCCGCTGTAGAACAAGATTATTAGGGGCGCCTGGGTGGCTCAGTAGGTTAAGCGTCCAACTTTGGCTCAGGTTGTGATCTCACGGTTCTTGGGTTCGAGCCCCGCATTGGGCTCTGTGCTGACAGCTCAGAGCCTGGAGCCTGCTTCAGATTCTGTGTCTCCCTCCCTCTGCCCCTCCTCCACTCATGGCCTGTCTTTCTCTCTCAAAGATACAGAAACGTTTAAAAAAAAAAAAAAAGAACAAGATTTTTAAAGATTATATATGGTCACTGTCATTTCACTACCCGGGAAAATTTCTATTTTCAGCTCCTATCCTCTCCTGTCTTCTCCTCTTCTTCCTCTCCCTTCCCTCCCTCTTCTCCCTTCACTTCCTCCCTCCTTCCTTCCTACATTCCATCCTTCCTCTCTTCATTCCACAAATGTTCACTGATCACTCATTTTGATGCATTGCCCAAGTGTCAACTCTGCCACCATCACTGGTTTAAATCTCATCATCTCTTGTCTCTGGAACATCTACCATCTTTCTCACTGGCCTCCCTGCTTTCATGCCTGCTCCCTAACAGTACAGTCCCACCCAGCTGGCAGCGTTTTTCCTCAAAAATCTTCACTGCTTAAAACTTCTCAGTAAATCTCTTTGATGATTACACAGAAGATAAATGTGAGACATCATAGTATGGCATACAAAGCTCTTGTCATCTGGCCCCTGTTTGCCTGTTCCACTTCATCTTCATTTAAAGTCTCAAAATGAGGAAGTAACACAGAATTTGGAGCCAAGTAGGAATAAAGACCAAGATCTCTTAATATCCAGGCAGTATGGGCACCATCCTGCCCAGCATTTCGCAAAACACTGGACTGGCTTTTGAAACTGGTAGTACTGAGAAATAAGCCCATGATTGAAAATGCTTATAACTGCGCTGAAATGCAGTCATTAGAGGCCAATGAGTAACATTCATTAATTATTCTCTCGGCAGAGCTATTTTTTGTGGGCTTTTACCCTGAAGGAGTGAGGATATCGTTGGAACACTTGATCTTTTCTTTCATTAAAAGGTAAGGGCATATTGCAAGCAACAATTCTTTTGGATCTGAATTTTTGGTCACTTTTTCTTCCTTTCATTGGTGTACCTTTATTAGAAAATACTATCGTAGGCTTATCACAAAGCACTGAAAATTTTTCCAATCTGTTGTATTCCTGTGTTTTAAAAGAGAAAATATCAGGAGAAGAAAATGAAAGCTTTCTTTTTAAAAAAATTTTAATGCTTATTTATTTTTGAGAAAGAGACAGAGCATGAGTGGGAGAGGGGCAGAGAAAGAGGGAGACAAAGAATGTGAAGCAGGCTCCAGGCTCTGAGCTAGCTGTCAGCACAGAGCCTGATGCGGGGCTCAAACCCACAAACTGTGAGATCACGACCTGAGCCAAAGTTGGACGCTTAACTGCTTAACCGACTGAGCCACCCAGACGCCCCTGAAAGCTTTCTTTGAGCAACAGCACTGGTCACTGCAAATTATGTCATTTGAGTGGATTCTTGGCTAGGCTGCAGAGGGAAACCTGTGATGTGCTCAGTCATGGCAGAAGGGTCCACTGCAGGATGGTGGGCAGAGGCGACATGACACCGGGCTGCATCCTGAGGGATTTGGAGACTTGTGTTTAGTCGGGACAAGCTTTGACATCCAACGGAGTCTGTTTTGAGGTATAGGCCATTAAAAAAAAAAAATCACATTGCTCTAAGTGGCAGCATCTGAGCTCTAGCCCTCAGTGTGAAGTTCCGGACCTATGAGCTCCAGGGAAGTGGGCAAAGCCTGAGTGAATGACTCTGATCCCACAGTCCCACAGAAAGGAACTAGAATGAAAGTGGGAGATCAAGGAAAGGGCCCAGTCATCTGTATTGTGTACGTACAGCAGGATCTAGAAGAATACTTAGAGGGACAGGTTCCCTAAACTCATCTCAGATTTCTGTACCAATCATAGGATCGGAAGCTAATTCTAAAACCCATTTTCTTGGGTGGTCTGAAGCTACTGCATACTCCACGGTGATTTTTAGTGTTGGGCACCTTTATTTTCTTTGTGACTGATGTCCTTTTCTGTAAAACAGGGTGGTTGATTACAGCACCGTCCCCACAGACCAAGGTGCTGGGAAACTGAGGCCAGCCATTGTCATTCCTCCCCTCAGTGACCAGCTGGCCATACTGAATGACTCAGGCAAAATTGCTTCATTTGGTAAAATATTTGGAAATTTGGAAATAGCATTATAGTATAGCAAAGTATAGAAGAACAATAAACAGTATAAATTGATAATTCCTAACATCAGCTTTCTTTTCACACATTTCCTTTTTGAAATATGAAATCTAGCAGTAGTTCTCAGTAAGACTGGTATGATTTTTTTTTTTTTCCTAAGAGTTTGCGTCTTATTTATGAGTCAGGTTTTGGGCCTTTTTACTCTCATTAGCAATTTCCATGCAGAAGGGAAGTGCAGTCAAGTGAGACTAGATTTGCCACAAATGAGCTACTATAGAAGCTTCTATGGCATAGAAACTAATAAATAGCCCAAGTGTGGTGATAACTAACTAAATGGTGAACCTGAACAAACATGCAGAAAATACTTCTGATAGTTTCTGTGTACTCTGACACAGAAAGTAGGTAAGTATTGCCAAACCACCTTTGCAGGTAGAGTATGCTCCTAAAATTTACCCACACTTACATTGAACTGATTTGAGAGAACATAAAAAAGCCTACAGGTATCTGGATGATTCATTGGGATGGAGCTGGGCTGGCAGATTCTAGCATCTTGAAAGGTAGTGGTGACTATGAAGTGAGAAAGAATATATGGGCACATTGCAGAGTGTACGGAATATACATGTAAATTTGGGGGTTGGGAATAAGGAGAAGGTCATGGTCCCCTAGGATGAGCATGCAAGAATGTCCTGGTAAGAATACTCAGAAAACAAAGCAGTATTATAGACTACTGAACTAATTTGCTTTCTGGTACAGTTTAGCGCATATTTAGCAAACACCAAAGGTGGGCATAGTACTCTTTAGGCTCATAAAGAGGGAACAAGAGACGAGAAACACTGGATTAGGTGCTCTTCCAGTGTCTGGCTGCACCCCTGTGTGCCAGGTGTGAGTCCCAGGGAGTGGGTAAAGGAACCAAACTCAGAGAGAGCATGGGCTCACTTCTTATTTCACCCTGGTTCTAGGACTGTGGTTCTCACACTTTAATGAGTATCAGAATTGCATGGAAAGCTTCATACAACACAGGTATGGAGCTCCACCCCCAGAAGTCACAACTGACTAGGTCTGGGGTGGGTCCTGACAATTTGCATTTCTAACAGGCCTTGGGAGATGCTGATGCTGGATCATTGCTCTGGGATACACATTTCTAAGTATTCTTTCTCCCCTGTCCTTTCTCTTTCCTAAAAGGGTAGATATTGGCTGGCTTAAGAAAGCTTTCTGCCTATTGGCTTAATGAAGTAAACTCCCAACAGACTCAGAACTCCAGTCTTTCACTCACATACAAACATCTGAAATATAGCTAAAACTCCAGAACTCTTAGAGATATGATGAGAACCTTGTAAGGTGAAGTGAATCATCTAAGTTTACACTAGGTGTCAGAGGCAGAATTTAAACCCACATCTCTTGACACCAGATCCAGGACTGTGTTTAAAACAATACTTATGACTGGGAGTTCTGGGGTGAGTGACCCTTGATGGCCAAGATTATAATGAAAAGAAAATAATTATACTGTTACTCCATTCTAGTCCAAACAGCAGGAAGTGAAATTAAGTTGGGGAAAGCTGATGGCCCCTTACTGTCAGAGAGAACATTGACAAATCTATTTCAGAGACATTCAATTCAAGCCTGGACAAACTCATCTCTTCTTCCTGTCTTTTTCTTACCTGGGCCATCTGGATGCATTCTGCTTTTCCATAGACCTCTGGGTATTTTGAGTTGTTTTACTTTGTAAAATATAAAAATAGATTTCATTGATGAGGGAAGCTACATTTGTGCAGTCATCAACATCAGTAATGTCTAGGTTTATATCTTTATAGCCATCAGTCTATTCATGATCATATAAAAGGTTAACTTTTCTGTTCCTATGTATGACTACTAAAATAAGCTAATGACAAAAACCAAGAGGAATGGATGCAAACAAGTATCATTCTTATTGTCTCTCCCTAAACTTCACCTTGGTCCATGCTTTCCCTTAGACTTTTATCTTCTCCAAGGTTTTTTTTCTTTTTAAATCATGATGTATTTTCCCATAATAATATAATCCCAGGGGAAATTCCGGTGCCAGCTGTTCTAATAAGGCATTTATTTCACGAACTCTGCCATCTTGTGCTTGGAATGGCAAAAGTAAAAGGGTCCCTAGGACAAAGACCTGAAGATGTCTATGCTGAGTTGGGATTTTTGCTAACGAGTGTCTGTCAACATGCCATTTATTAGATCCTCTTTAAGTTAAAAAGATGGGTCATTGACCCTGACCAGGATTGGAAGGAGGATATTGCACCCATATAAAATTATTTGTAAACTGTAAATGCTACAAAAACATAAGGCATCGTCATTAGTTCTCAGTAATGAATCAATAGTATAATTTCCCTCTCTTTCTCTCTTCCCTGCCTACCATTTGGACAACTTTGGCTTGTTGCCTTCTCTTTTGAAGAGGGGGTCAGAACTATGTTGCTGGTTTATTTCTCAGGTGCAGTTAACATTTCCCAGTGCAAGGAGCCACATAACATACATGAATAGGCATCGGCAAGGAGTTCAACGCGACCTTTCTACACTGAGCTCCAGCCAC